CAAATCTTTGAAACACGTTGCTAAAATTCAAAATTTCCGTTTTTATCATACAGAATGAGCCAAAAAGTTTGTGAATAGGATAAAACCAAATCGTTCGTGTCTTGCTTCATTTTATTTATAAATATATTAAAACCTCAATAAATGTCAATGTGATCTTCGTCTATATTAATGCGATATAGGTAATTCGCTTGTTAAGTTTTGTAAGTTGTACACGTAAATAGCATACTAACAGTTTTTATACAAAAAATGCTAACCAGAATGTCTTTGGAATTATACAGTGTATAGTAAAAAATAGGTAGGTACGGCAAACCAGCTATTCAGTGTACATCGGGTCCTCTTTCGAAACGAACTGCAATACATTTACATAAAGTAAGCCATCAGAGAATTACATCGGCAATGAGTAACAATAAAATTGACATAATATATGCAAATAAGCGTTATTTGGACGTGAAATTTTGGAACAGAAGTTCCAGTTTAAAGAAAGAACAATTACAGTAATTTAATAGCAGAAGTATTTTTTCTGTTGGCTTATATCAAACGTATCACGTTTGCACAGTAAAAGGACCCCCATATGAGAAACATTCGGTGGAAGATTTCTTCATATCCTTCAGTACTCGTTCGACAATGCTCTGAGCACCTTGCAATTCATCCTAAGTAAAAATCTGTATAACAAAAATAAATAATTTTTAAAATATATGCAGAAATAATTCCAAAGACAGATACAACATGCATACACATTTTTTCAAGAATCATTCTTCCTCTCATTCTACCAGTCACCTCAAATTGGTCTTTCCGACAGTCTCAAATGATGAGCACGAACAGTACCCAAGTGCTTAGGGCTTTCCAATTCGAACATGGCATTTTAATTTATCCTTTCTTATTAGATACTATTAAACTATGAATCTGTAACCTACAATACATAGATATGTTAAAATACAAACGGCTCAAAGAGCAAAAGTCTCAAAATGAAGAATATAATGTTAGTGATTTGGTAGAAAGGTGAGTATTCTGTTCTCTTACAAAACATTCTTTTGACACAATCAGGCAAAATAATATGTTATTGAATGGGACCTGACTATGCGGAAAGGTTTTAAAAGCTGGTTTAGATTTTTTTCTGGTAAAAAGTGGCGTTTAATTATTATGCATGTATAAAGTGACACATGAACAGACAAAATCTGTATCACGCTCGTTATATAAAGCTCTATCTACAACGCCTTAGTCAAAATGACAAAACTATTTTATTTGAAGAGAATATAATTAGATAGATCCACAATTTTGTAAATATTTTGAATGGTGTGTACGCTTCTACTTTTCTCTGGGTTTTAGTACACATTTTAGAAACTTTGTAAGGAAGAATTGAGAGATTTTTACCCCTGTAGTATTATATTTAATAGTTTTTTTAAAGTTCGATAGAAGCAGTTAAGTTAAAGATAGACATAGAAGCAGTTAAGTTAAAGATAGACTAAATTGATAGTATCATATTTCTAAGGAAAGCCCAGCAAGCACCACAATAACTGAAAATTTTGATATGAACACCTCAGATATCTCATACTTTGTAAAACTATTTAATTCCCAAAGTTTTACTCGCGTTTTTTTTGTTCTACTAATTTCAAATAATCTCCTGATAACACTTCCTGTTTTACTAGTTGCTGTGATATTATTATGGCAAGATTACAGTTCTTGGAAATGATCTACATTTTGCGTTTTGACGCAACAAATCTTATTAATTGGTATAAAGGATTTTTCTACATTTTTTATGACGTAATTGTTATATTTTTGAATGATCTGTGGTTAAATATGACAAATATAAGTAATCATTACACATCTGGTGATTATATTTAAAGAATTACTCAGTTGCAACGTATTTATCTACGTTTACTGAAAATTTAATGAAATAAAAGAAACTGAAAAAAGCGGACAGTGTTGATTGACAAACTAGTTTGAAAAACAAGTGAAAGCAGCACATATAAATTGTATGAACGAAACGAAGAATTAGCTACACCTCCCTCTACATATATGTATATGTATAGAAGGATCGCTTTAGAGAAGCTAAACCCTTGGACCTGACTGAAATTCTGGAGAAAGGTTAGAAACAGTACTTTAAGCACAGTATAAAGAGGTTCCAGAAGAGGAAGAGGAGCCTCTTTATACTGTGCTTTAAGTAACTAGCGAACTACAACAAAGAAACTTCGTTATGGCTGTCAGGACATAAAGGAATAGCTGGTAACGACATTGTTAATAATCTTGCGGTCTGGGGTATCCCAAAAAAGTAACACCGTGAACAAAGGCAAGCAAAAAGGTTATTACAATCTTCTGCTCCACGCTGCTTTAAAAAAACTGCATCAAATGAAGTAATGGACACTGCTCACTTATAAATATCTGTAAAATGGATAAGGCAGAAACAGCAGATTCTGCAAAAATGTAGAGAAAATGTTTTAACACATTGTTTTCAATGCCAGGTAACAGTCATCTCTCCTAAACATAGAATAGGTTTTCTTAGAAGCCTAAATTTGTTTGGATTACCTCAGATATAGAATATCTGCAAAAATTTCGGAATATGGAAAGCTCTACCAGACCAAAAGACTGTTTTGAAATCTACAATCTAAAATAATCATCCATGTTTTCATTGCCAAAGATATCCCTAAGAATTAAAGGAAACAACTCTTGAAAGGGCTTCAAACAAGAACATCTTTGTAAACTACAGTCTTAAACCAATCACACAATTAAAACAAGAATCTCTGAAAATTAAACTGATAGAATGGAAAGGTGGTAAATAACAATAAACGTATGTAGGTACATAAAAAACGAAACTAAATACTTTTTTGTTTCAAAAAATTTGAATCGTTGGGATACCTGAGGCGCATCAATCATCAAAGTAATTTTAACCCAAGACCAATTTAAGTGACTACCTCAATTCTGGACTAGATAATACTGGAGACCCGCGGTGGTTTACTGGTGCCCGGCCATCTCTTTTTTCCTTTTGTGAGAATATCGTGATTCCCAAATCCCACGTTTCAGGCCAAAAGTACCATGAAAAATTGAAGAAGTAAACAAGCAGCAAAATATATTTTACTTTTTAGTATTATAAAATTAAATGGCGTAAATATTATTCAGTCCGGAACCCTTAAGAATAACAGTTCAGTGATTCATTCACTGAAATGTTTCAGTGATTCGTTTGAAATAACGGTTCCATAGCTTAAAGCGTTTTATGTGTTATAATAACAAAATTAAGTCAATAATTTACATCTTGATTGTCAAAATTTACAAGTCACCAAAAAGGAAACTTTAATGTTTTCTTTCTAAGAACCACTAATTTTCTATTTACAAGAAATGTACGGAAATACATACGATTATTCTTATATTCATTCATTTTTTGAGATATAAATCATACCCACACACTGAATAGTACACTAGAGATATCATTTTTGGAGAAGAGTATCCTCCCACATGTTTATATAACCAACAATATTCTGACGTGGATCGGCCCACATTTTCCGTATAATTTAAAACTTGCGTCTAACATTGGGGGCTTGAAATTAGCATCCATTTTCGATTCCTCGCATTCCAGACTAATTGGAACCATTTGTACCTTTCGGTTCTGCAATTTAGATATTATTTGGTGGGATAAAAACCACTAGAGCTTTACAGCTGGGAATACTTTCTGGATATAGCCATTTATATCGGTCCAACAGCGTGTTATTTACAAAAAGTTTTTATAGACATGACATATCTTCGTTTAAGTGGTGGTAATATCGAAAAAATGGGATTTGGAAAGTATTTGCGAATTAATTAATGAAATAGGTGGCTGAAGAGGAAAAATTGATTTTGTAGAACGATACCAGTCAAATTTAAAGTTCATTTTGAAGACACATGTTTCTTTTATTAACATTCCATCAAATCGCTCTTCCGTTATATTCATTTTTGAACGCAGTTTTCGTACTTATTTTTATCAATCCCTTCATTGTTTATTATAACTATTATTTAGAGTGATTAAGAAGGAAAAATCATGTAAGATATATTCATCCTCGTCATGAACATCCTCTAAACTACGTAATATATCTTTATGACCGCACCAAACATTTCTGTATCTGATTTATATTAAATTCTCCTATTAAAAATTTTATTTCAGTATGTAGGATGAACACTACAACGTATTATTGGATAGATATACAGAGACTCCCACGTGTCACAGATGGTACTTTTCCTGTGTATATAGAAAGGATGTTCCAAACAATATAGTAACAAAAATCTCAATGAAAACGATTTACAGCTTGGTGCGTGGGATCTTTATTGACAAAATAGTCAAATATCGATAAATTTATTGTCCAGATGACCGTTAATCAGATATCAAGAAAAGAATGGTTGTAAATATCATTCAAGAGTTATTTAAATAAAGATGATATGTAATTATTGCGAAACTGTTTAACATACAAAAGTTTTGGAACGAAATATAGGCCAAAAGAGAACTGAACTGAATAATTTAGCCATCAAAATATTGTTAATATTGATATTGAATTTTGTTCTTTTAGCTTTAAGTTATTTAAACTCCAATAAAATTGTTTGTAAAGCACTCGTACTTGAACTATATTGGTCAAATTTGAATAGTTTGTAAAATATCTTCAAATATAGTAAGATCCTTGCAATAAACGTACCTAATAACGATTTCTTTGCTGATATGGCATTCCGATAGGTCGGAAAACTTTAAAAAAGGTATTTAAAATTCAATCTAACGTATGGTTACTTAATTTAGTGGTTTTGCTACTTGTTTGCTCTTCAATTTGCCAAACCGTCTTTTCCATCGAGGGCACTCAGCAGAGAAGCACGGAATATCAATGTTATAACAGTTAGAAAATACACTTATTTACAAAAAATAAATTAATAGTGTAATAAAGTTAAAATAGGTACACATGGGCAGTCGTGAAAATATTTCGCGCACTAATAATCCGAGGTAGAGTCAAGTAAACGTTTCTCTGGGGTGGGAAGGGGAGGTCTGCACCTACAACCAGTCCTAGAATGGCGCGCATAACATGCTTCCACCGCTCTTTTGCAGCCTCTAAGAGGCCAATAGAGCCACAGGCAAGGTAGAACGCATGAAAGGGTGGCCAGACAGCTCCATCGAGCCGTCCTTCGGTCGGGCCCGCAACCACACGGATCGTCCGCACAACTTTCTCCACCGTCCGTATCGCTGCAGTGGTAAAACAATCCTTTGACACAACACAAGCAGGAAGCGTAGTCAATGACACTATCCGCGGAAACAAGACACGAGTTGTTACACACCCACTTCTGGGGCAGAGCCCGAGGTACCTGGCAAGATTCACAGCGGCACCTTCCGCACTCCGGACACATGATCGACGGTCTTGTCGCACACTCCGGAGGTGGCTCCTTGCTGAAGGTCGCCGCAGCAGCCGCCGCCGCTGCGGCCGCCGCAGATGATGGTTGCTTGCTGATGGTGGGCAGCACCAGATTTCTTGGCCTCTGCAGACTCCTAGCGGGTTGAGGGGGCGGCGACGGCGTCGCTGCCGGCGGCGGCGATACCTTGAATGGGGTCTCCACATACTCGTTGGTGGTTCGTTCATTTTCGGGCCTTGGAACGGTGAGAGTTACAGGCGGCGCTGGCCGTAATGGTGCCAATGGAGCCGTTAGCGGGGGAATATTCATTATAGGCGCCCGCGGACGGTTAGCACGCGGCAGGGACGTAAGCCCTCCATGGTTAGCCATGTGGTCGGAATTAACGCCCGAACCAGCCTGCTCCGTGGTCCGTCATCGTCTCCAGCTGAAACAAAAAAAACTACTTTAGTATAAACAATAATAAAAAAACACAGTAAGAAAAACACACAATCGTATAATTGGCAAGAAGACTATAGTATTTACAATGTCACAATGAATGTTACGGTTATGTAAATGGGTCAGATGCTCGGTGAATGGAGAAACATCTTAGTAAAGTCCAAACACAAGCTGAAGGCTAATGAAACTACTGAGCCGCACTATGAAAGAACGGGAAACAATAACTGATAGACGGATTTAGATTTCCAAAAATCAGCAACTTAGATCAACAATACATGCAATTTTCATTATACTTTAGCTACTAGAAAAACGTGGGAACCACGAACTTTTCGTATAGTATTCGTTAATATTCAGAAAGCGTACAAAATAATACCTTTAGTGCTTCTTTTGTGTTTATACGGGATTAAGCCACAATTTATTATATTGATTTGACATTTCGATTTCCAATGAGCAAATCATTCTCAAAAAAGATTATTTAAGAATTTTGTTAAAAAAAGTGTATAACCGCCAAAGTTGTTAACGTGGTGATGCCACAAAATTGAAATTGATACATTTACCGCGGTGTTATAGGCAACAGTCCCGCCCGTCAATCCCGTCAACGTAAACATGAAAAAATGAATTATCGAATCAATAAAAGATAGCCAAAACACCTGCTCTAATGAAAAGAGTTTTACTTCTTTCGAAAACGACATGGATCTCAAATTAGAATGTGTCGGGAAGCTTTTTTGAAAATCCTAGCTTTCAAAAAAGACAGTTTTGGAAGTAATAAAAAAAGGGAGAAGCAGAAAATTGGAAAATTTTGCTGAGAAAAAGCTAGTTATGGCTTTTGTTCAAGAACTGAAGCTACTAGAATCACATTATATTAGACAGAGAGCGACTTATAGAAAATTCCTGTCATCTAATTTAAACATTACTGAAATTTACAACAACTATTATTCTGTTAACGTGAAATTAAAAGTGAGAGAATCTTATTTTCAAGAAGTAATCAATACACACTTTGACTTTAGTTTTGGTTCACCAAAAACAAATGCTTGTAAGGCATATTTGTACTTGGATAAGCAGTTAAAAATAGAAAAAAGCATAGAGAAAAAGCAAATGTTGGAAACTCAAAAACAAGTGCACAAGTTGCCTTTTATGATGATGATAAGACCATAGTTGTAACATTTAACTGCCAAAAGAATTTACTATTGCCTAGAATCAATCGCAATCAATTGCAATAGAGATCAATTAGCTTAATTTAGCAGGCAGTATTCCTTTTATAACTCTTCTGTTGTCAATGGCCACTCTAACTAAACTAACAAAAGGAAATGTCCACTACTACACTTGGTATGTGAGAGTGATTTCGCCAAAACCTCCAATTCAATGACCTAATGTCTCTACCACCACTTGTTAAATGAAAATTTTGACGGAAAAGTGTTTTACTTTTGGAACCAGTACAGTATGAAGAGATCCTGGCAAAATATGGCACTGTTCACAAAGTAGCAGTGATAGTACGAGTCTATGATTTTGAATGCGAATGTTTTAAAATACTTTGGGAGTTGATTGGAGAAAACTTGAGTGTCTTCAATTTTACTTTCAATTGGAGAAAAATCAAAATGAAAATACAGAAGAAACACCAGAGAATAACGATGATGACAAAGTAGTAGAGTCTTGAAGTTGTTTAGTGAAAACACTATTCTAAAGAGATGCTCTAATAATGAATTAATGTTTGCTAATGATTAAATGACCTGTTGTGTAAAACTTTCCTAGTTTTAATGTAAAAATTTGCAAAAAATTAACTGTGACGGCTCAATCCATAATTTGCAATGTCTAATTTTATTATACCTTTATACCTTAAGCGTTGACTATATTCCTGTAAAATGGTTAGTTTTACAACCCCTTTGAAGCAAAATCATCAGTTAAATTCATTTTAAGTTTTATAACCCACTAAATCAGAATTTACAAACGCTGTTTTTCCTAACAAATTTCTATTTTGTTGATATGTTTTCATAATTTGTCACTAACAAACGTTGAAATTTAGAAATTTTTAGTAAAAAAAGTATATTTCTAATGTGATGGGTCTGTTGGTTACAGTTATTGCCACTTTGCCAAAAGAAGTATCTTATATTATGTTAGAAATACTGAAAGAGAATTATAGAGCAAAGATAGTAGGAATACGATACTAAAAAAAAAGATCTAGGACATGAACAGAATATCCAGATACTAGTTTTTGAAGTTTATATCTTTTGCATCAACAATGATGCAAAACCATAAATGTATGGTCCTGGAGTTATTCCGTATTTTTTTTAAGCAATTAAAAAATTCGAGCACCAAACAAGCTACAGCCTCCATTTTTTTTTTGCGTAGTGACCTTATCATTTTTCTAGCATTATGACATACTTCAAATGACAGACAGTGACTGGTTACCGTACAGTAGAATATGCTTCTACCCGTAGAAACACGGCCTTTGTGACAGTCAATCCCTAACAGCTGACAATTAAGTTGTTTCAACAGCTGAAAAAACAACTAATTTTATTTTGTCCTCAGTAAGTTAGTTCAATATTTCTAAAGATTTTGTTTGCCAACTGTTTCAGATTTTCTTATTCGAGATAGTTTTTCAATTTTATTAATAATGTGATCAGTTGTAAGTGATAAATTATATAAACTTTTTACAAAAAAAGATCCCTTAAATTTCAAAAGTTTTGTCCTACTAATAGTTTCAAAATACTTTTTTACTTGAATGATTACTACAAGTTTATTACTGAACCCAATGTTAGATATAATAATTTCTTAGTTTATTTGTTTTTTCTTTTTGTTTTGTAATATTTAATGAGTCCAGTCGTCACTGTACACTGGTTCGTCATGACGAAAATGCCACTGAACCTTTAAAAACCATACGAACAAGCTAAATTTCGATTAGAATGTAATTTTTGGGACCCCAAAAGGTTGCAAAAAGTTGCCGTTCCTACCGCCGGACTTTCCCCTAAACCCCCCTCATAGGGGCGGCGTTTAAAATGTTTCAAATAACAAATGTAGTTAAGATATTGACATTCTCGAGAAAATTCAGCTTGTTCTTATGCTTTTTAGAGATCAAACAGCATTTCTTTGAGTCATTTCATGTTTTTTTATGTGGTTAAACTGGAGCGTCAATATGATTCTTGTCTGATAAACGTTAAAAAACATAAAAATAGTATCACCATGAACTATTTATTAACAGGACAAATTACAGAAGTAGTAATCGCAGCATTTGAGAGGCACGCACACTAAGTGAGTAGAACTGTGAGGATAATTAGGAAGTTCTGGCACATAATTCGAAACGGAAACTGACCATCTAAAGCCCCTTTTTAGAATCGCTTACGTCGGTTAGTGCAATGTACATTTGGACAGACTGCGATAGAGATTGGTTCGGCTGTGAACTGTGACACGCACCAGAAGTAATGAACAAAGTATAAACACGTAGATGATGTGGTTGACATGGCCTACCAGTCCGTTTTAAAAATCAAATTTGTTAGAAAAGAACTGTATTTTGAATACTTCTCACACAGTATAAATACTGTGTGAATATGTTAAAAATATTCTCACACATTTTCCAGCAATATATTCATATCTCTCTGCGTATTTATGTATATTTAAATAAGTTATTGATACTACCACCGCAAAGTTTACTATTTTAATTACCTAATTATAATTTTAATTTCATTTAAAATTATTAATTGTGTAAAAATAGTATTATTTTTATGCTGTTTCACGTTTCAAGCCCTTCATAAAACATGTTCAATCCTTAAAGCGATGAACACATTAAATGAATCGGTTCCCAGCAAGGAACCGAGTCACTGAAAGTAACGATTGAGTCCACGACTACCACGAGAGACACAGACTCCACTGTTTCATTTGCACCACAGATGGCGAACAGGTACGGGGTTTGTTTGTCCAGCACTCTCCGGGCCCGAATTCATGGAAAAACATCACAAAGAGTACCTTTAAATGTCAGAAATTGTGTTAAAAATGCAAGTAAGTCACTTAAAATGATTTTCTCATCATTTTTGGTTGTATTTGGACAGACATTAGAATCAGCATGGGTTGTATGTAAATCATACAAAAATGATCTATTTAAACATCATATTTGCTTGAAACTCAAGTTTTGGTGCACAAAATTGGAGAAGTTAAATTATTTGCGTAGAATAGTTTATCGGAAATACTAAATTGATAGTTTATTATTTTCACACAGACTGTTGATCAAAAATTCAAGACCTTCTGTGAGTCTGTATGCGTTTCAATGCACGTAGGCACGTTTTACCAATGTAAACTTGTAAATTTTCTTCTTGTATATTTGCCTAAACAGTATTTTTCTTATTTGTTGCAAAATATTAGCTATTTTATAAACTTAGTATGATGAAACTTATGCTATATGTTTTTGTATTCGTGGTAATGTATTATGTCAATATTACATTTATTTTTAGAATCACAAGTTAAATATTTATGATCTTTCCTACTACTTTTCGTCAGTCTTGTGGGGTGCTTATTTGTACAGTTTTCTTCTGTATCTAACATTGTATTCTTACGGCATTTTCTTTACAGGATTTTATGTATTTCGTAGGGCAGCAGAAGATATTTATTGTCAGAGGGTATTTAAATTCTTAAATAAAAGATTAGCCAATACATAGTATGCTATTATTGGAAACCTACATGCTAAACCGGTTATAAAAGAAGCCTGTCCACAAGTTTTAAAAAGTATACAACTGAAGATACGCGTATACGGAAAACATAATATAATGGAGCTAATGTAGACTGTGTTTAAAACAAACAATTTCAAATTGGTAACAATGACTTGGCCAAGACGTCCATTATTTCTTAGGATTGATAAACAAATCTTAAGTATGGATACTATTACAAACAAAAGACCAAGATTATAATAAGATTATGAAAAAAGCAAGATAAACTACCACAAACCAACAAATACATTTTTGCATACTGCACTGTTCTTCCTAGCATTGATAAACGGTACTTAAA